CTCCTTTTTTTTGAAAAATCCGTTGATATGGCTTTTGGATACTGAAGTCGGGTAGCCTGGGATTATTTTGCTTGTTTCACTTTTCAAACACTTTTTTCTTGTTCAGTGAGGTGACTGGTCGAAATGATGCAAAGTTGCGGCTGGTGGACGATGCATTTGCGACTGTATGCCACGCAATCAACGATGTTGAGGTGCGAGATTACGAGAGCTTTAAGCATTCGAGGAATTTTGCATAACGCTAGAATTTTTTTGAGAAAAAAAACGAAACTTTGTTGTTGATGCATTTGATTGCAGTGCGAAATGTTGTGCGTTGTAAAAGATTTTGGATTGCAAGTAGAATTATAAATAAATTTAAGATTCATAAAAAATAACGATTTTTGAAATTCAGAGGATTTTAAGCGATTTAGAAACATGGACGTTCGAAAAAAAAAACATGATTCATGAGGACGTTTAAATCCTACAAATGTTTGCAGGTTTCCGTGAGAGCTGTTGCTGCTCGTCTTTTGGGTGATTTTCAACAAGTTTCCGATTCTTTCTTGGATCAGACACTCGACAAGAAGTTGCTGAACGCTATGAGAGTAAGTTCCTCGCTTAAAAAGTCTAAAATGAAGTAATGTTAAAATAAAATAAGGACGATCTTAATGTGCTCTGTTGCAGATGTCAAAAACACGTGAAAGTGCTTCGAAAAGGCCTCAGAAGCATGGGTCACGGCATCAACGATCTCAGGCCAGCAGTGAATGGTCAACAGGGAGGAGATTGGGTGAAGACGTGCCAGTCGAGAGATTCGATGAAGAACAATCCAGTATAATCTCATCTGGAGCGTGCGGAGCTTTTGTCACTGCCTTAGAGGACGAATTTATGAGTTAGTAAATTCCCTGAGAAGTATTTTTTTATATCTTTCGTACAATGGTTAAGCTTGTTAGGGTGTGGGTATTTATCGTTTTTATCAGTTTTTGTGCATTTTTTACATCTATGCAATGCAGAAAACGCATAGTGATGAGGGGTTGTCTGTGTGTTTGTGTGTGTGTGTCTGTGTGTGCGCTGTGCGTCTACCGATTTTTTATCTCAAAACCTATAAAAGCTATAGCGCTGAAACTTTGTAAACTTAATCTACATGCGTGTACGAGCTACCTTTTCCAAAATGGGCGCTCTTATCCGCGTGGTATTCACATATGAGCCCGCCAAAGTTGTTTTCAAGTAAGCTGCTAACTCAGGAACTTGAAAAGCTGGAAGAATGGAATTTTGAGGGGATGTTCCCCGTCCGAGTAGGTATTAATGAGTTCAGACCCAGTCCCCCGGGTATGTGTGGTTCCCACGAAGGGCCCATGAAAGTTTTTTTTTTCGGGTGAGTTGCTAACTCGGAGACCAGGAAAGCTAGAAAGCTGAAATTTTAGAGGGATGTTTTCAGTCAGCTCTGATGGCCAGTCTCAGTTTTCTTAGCTAGAAGGCTTTGCCTGAAAAACTGCTGCCGGTAGCGACAAAAACTGCGGGAAACTTTACAAAAAACGCATCTTTACACCGATAGTCGGTACGCTGGCCATTTATTAATTTGGTTGATTTGTAATTTTTTATTTGAAAATAATATTTCAAACAGAAGGGACTTTCCTGATTTTGTTTAATCAGACTGCATACGTCATAGCATTACTGCTGTTTGTAACCAGCGTTGTATAGACAGCTGTTGTATTGATAAAATACAGCTGCATTCATCGTCACAAGTGTATAAAATGTTACAGTATCAGGAGCAAATAATTACCAAAAAAAAAAAGTGCAGTATAATTAAGGTTTAAGTATTTAAATTGGTAAAATAATGCAGTAGCGAAAGGCTGGGAGAGTTGTAAAAACTGTGTTTTTCGTATGAGAT